GCGGTCACCGGCCGCTATTTGAAATCACGGTTTTCGCGGCGGTATAGCGGTGATATAGCGTTTTTTATATTATTTAGAATTTATATATATTAGACTATTAATCAGTAAATCATACTTTAAAGTTCAACACAATCTAGTTGATTAGTTAATCAATAAATCATAATTCACATATCATATTTAGTTAATTATACTTCACATATCATAATTAGTTAATCATACTTCACAGATCGGTTACCAATGCCCCAATTAATCATACTTTAACACAATTAACAAGAAAACATATGAAATACTTACTATTTTATCATACTTTAACACAATTACAGTTATCAAATAAATGATTAAGCAATTTGATAGTTAATCATAATGTAGTACTTCAAGTTTTCAACACAATTAGCAACACAACACATACATGGTTTCAATGGAAGTCATGACAGTCACAAAATTACAATTTTATTCAATGGAATAACACAAAAGTTTTAGTCAGGGGCTAAGAAAAAACAATTTTATTCAATGGAATGACACAAAAAAAAATGTTTTTTATATGTAAAATAGCCCAAAAATGGAATTTATTCAAATAGCAGTTATAGCGCCGCTATAGCGGTGACCATAATCGCGGTAAATAGCGGTAACTTGCGGCGCTAATAGCGTCGCCGCTATTCTAAACCGCTATTTCGAAATAGCGTTTCCTTACCTCCGCTAACCGCTATAGCGCCGCTATAGCACCGCTATTGACTACATAGCTAATTAATATATTACTATTATCATTGATATTAAAAAATTATTTATTTCAATTTATTAATCAAATAATAAATCAACCTCTTTCTCCAAAATCATCATGTCTAGTTGCTAGTCTTGAGGGAAACCTAAAAAGATTGTGCTACTATCGATTTAAGTATATACCGATTATTGTTATGGGCTTAGACACCTAATCCAACAGTCTCCCACTTGGATAAGTCTAATAACTATAGTTGCCAGTATAACTTCAAAAACTGATTAGAAAATTGTAGCTCTCAAAAGCCGTTGTCGAACTCTGACCCAGTCAGTAATGTGTCCTAAGATAAGTGATCCTATAATCCTCCATTCAACAATAAATCATGTGTACATTAGACATAGAACATAATCAATCTCATTGTCCAATACTTTGTTTCCCGACTTCTGATTTGTAATGACAAAGAACTACTAATCGAACACATCAATTTAGTCTTGGCCAGAACCAACACTATAAATCAACACCAAATCATCGAGGGGCCCAAAAATATTGTTTTTCCCATAAGGGTAAAAAAGGAACAGATAAACTTTGACTTATATGCTTACACCATTTACTCATCAAATCATGCACAACAATACGTTTTATAACATCAAGTTACTGATGCGTTTACATATCATCAATGTACAACCAACTCGTAAACAACAACTCATATATATCCGTTCAAAGATTATAAGATATTATCGTCTCAAAATTACTCGTGATAAATTCCATGAAGTAATTCTCTGAGCGTGGGTTAATCCAATACTTAAAATCCATATTTTCAAGTACCCATGAATGTTGCAGTAAACCATTGCTATGTCTATACCCTTAGACAATCTACAACCCAATTCATGACAACTTTAATTCACTACTTACTTCTAAAAGTATGATCGGCTGTGGATGTTTGAATAATCCAATTATTCCGTAAGTAAAACATGCAAAAATGAAACACAAAATAAACAATAGAAAAAAGGTAGTAATCCAACTCATAAATAAATCTTCATTATTTAATCACCAAAAGTCAATTACATTTATTTGTTTACAAGTTTCTAAAGGACTATCTAATTACTAAAACTAATATCATCCTTCAGACCAATGCTCCTAACATGCTGAATGTGCTTGACCCTACTCAGACCCTTTATGAGGGGATCTGCTGGATTCTCTTCTGATGACACCCTCTTCACAATGAGGTGACCTTCTTCTACTCTATGTCTGATGCAATCGTATTTTCTGTCGATATATCTTGATCTGCCATGATCTCTTGGTTCCTTTGTCAAGGCAACCGCCCCTTCATTATCACAGAAAATCTCCATTGGCTCCTTGATGGCCGGAACAATTCCAAGATCTCCAATGAAGTTCTTTAACCAAATCGCCTCCTTTGATGTTTCACTTGCTGTTATGTACTCTGATTCACAAGTAGAATCAACAACTGTCTTCTGTTTGGAACTTTTCCAGGTTACCGCTCCTTCATTAAGGGTAAACATACAACCAGGTTGAGAACGAAAGTTGTCTCTATCTGCTTGAAAGCTGACATCACTATACCCAGTTACTCTCAACGTATCACTGCCACCAAGCACTAGGACCCAATCCTTAATTCTTCGCAAATACTTGAGAATATTCTTAACTGCTATCCAGTGGGCTCTAGCTAGATTTCCCTAAAACTTGAATATGACATTCTTAACAATGGGGTAAAAGGGATTTTGGTTTATTTTGTGGTGTTAATGACATAATAAAATTGATGGATTGCTTGGGAGAATTTAAAATTTACATGGTGTGATTGATTATTTTATGAAGAAGACATGGATAAAAATATGCAAGTGAAAGCATAGATAATTCATCGAATGACACGTTGTCAAACCCTAAAAATGGGTATAGATAATAGGGAAAACTTCGGAAAAACTCAACATATTTTCATTAAATGCTTAAAAAAACCATTATATTATTTTTTAGTACACTAAAACCATTATATTTTCTAAAATTCTTATTTAAGGTTTTCTGACTTCAGAAAAACCTAATCTATTTTCATGAAAGGATTAAAAAACCATTATATTTTTTTAGTGCATTAAAACCCTCATATTTTTTTAAAGTTTTTTAATATATTGAATTGTAACAATAGAAACGTTAAGAATCGATAACCTAACATTTTTGGCTATCTAGTACTTAACGAGCTCAATGCCTTAAATGATACATTTTAAAAAATATAAGGGTTTTAACGTACAAAAAAATAATATAGTGGTTTTTTTAAGATTTTCATGAAAATATGTTGGGTTTTTATAAGATTATCCCTAGATAATATCCCAAAAAGAAGTTAATTAACAAAGCCAAATATATTAATATTTTGACATAACCGGTTAAACCAAAATAAATACAATGCTTCTCTTTATTAAGGGGTGTTTGACTTATCTTTTGAGAGACCAAAAGTCCTTTTAGGAAAAGATAAAATGCAAAAGATGTTTGGTAAAAGCATTTTAAAAGCTACTTTTGGATTTTGGAAATAAGGAAAACTGACTTTTTGGAAAAATCAGGAAAACCTGACTTTTTGGAAAAATCAAGAAAACCTGACTTTTTGTAAATTTTCCAAAAAACACTTTTGGCCTCTCAAAAGATAAGCCAAACACCCCTAAGAGGTAAAAGAAATGTTTAAGGAGCTACAAAACATAAAAAAATTCTTTAATGACTATTTAAAACAAATGAAAAAAAAGTCAATCAGTCTAAATGACATTAACCCAAGGGAACTTGAAAGGGGAAGTGGTTCATGTTGGGCTTGGGCTTGCCCCTAGACCGGTTGGTGTTGGGCTGTATCACAAAATTTCTGTAAAGTTGATTAGAGACGACTTCAGACGAGTCAAACGTCCGTACACAACTACACACTACACACAGTTTGTTGATTCCTGTTGATCTAAAGAAAATCCGGAGTCAGTGCATGAACTTGGTGCTTCCTAACCTTATGTGAAGTTGAGATTTGGAAAGCGGGAAGATAACATGAAGAAGATGAACCAGAAGAGGCATACAATTTCTTCGACAAATTTTTATCAGCTAGTAGCAATAATTTCATCGATGTCATCTTTACTTATTCTTCTCCAATGATGCTTCCTCGAGCCGTCCTGGTAATTTTCTGTTTTTTGATATTCATATCGTGAACACTCCCCTAATATGCTTGTTCTTTGGAGTCACATTGGGAATGTTGTTAGTTTAGTTCGTTTTACGAATCTAGAATTGATTTTAGTTTCTGATTTGAGATCGATTCGCACCGGTCTGTACAATGCTTATAAATGTTATTTGTACTGGAATGTTGGAGTCCATCAATAGCCAACTTCACGTAGATATTCCTTCGTGACCTAAATTAAGAGTTAATAGATGTGTATGAATCGGCAGTCTTGCATGATGATTTAAGAATCGCAATAAGGAATCAAGGAACAACGAAAACGTATTGTTCTGGATTAGAGTAATTTTTGATGATATTTGTAATTGATTTGTGCTTTGAATTGTCCTCCCTCTTTTATGCCTACAATTTTTTAACCTAATCGATTGTATTGCTTTAAAGTTCATGTTTTTGGCACATCAACAATGATTTTTGAAGGTTTTCATATTTTGTCCAAGTGTTCTTCTGGAGGCTATGTTTTTTTAGGCTGATGGAATTACAGCTAATGTTGTTGAGACTTGAGATTAAGCCGTGCTACTTATTATATGTTATGCCTTTTGTTCTTGGTTGACCAATGACCATCTTTGTCATATTCATTTGATCATTCATTCAAATAGATAATTCTATAAACACAAATTTAGATGTTTTCTAAAATCAAGGAACACAATCTTGTCTATTCTGAAACAAGTTCTTGGTCAACTGCAAGTACATTTTTTTTTCGTCAAAAACAAGAACATGAAATGGCAATAAATTTTGGAGCAACCAGTAATGTTATTCCTGGTAAGTACTCTGCTAATACACAATTGTCTTACCTTTTAAAATTAATGAAAAGAACAAGAGAAAACCCATGGAATAATTTAACAAGAAGACTAAAAAAATACATATATATGTTTGAACAATGGAAGTATTAGCTATGATTAGTTGAAAAAGATCTTAAACCCATTGTTTGATTTAGAATCACCAAGAAAGATAAGAACTAGAGTCACCAGCTGGACGGCATGTAACCAAAACAAACTTTAAGGGAATAACAATCTATCAAGAATTCAAATTTCAACATACATCTTATCCAATTAAATCAATACACCAAAAAGAATCATTTCCTCCATAGATCCTTCCCTTGAACTCTCCGCCAAATCTTTTGTAAATAGCCAATAAATCCAAGAACAAAACACTATAAGAATGAAAACACAAAACCTCCAATAGCCTTCCACTGTATTCTTTAGTCTTTACACACCATATGGGAGCTTCAACAAAAGAGAAAGGTGTGCTTAAACTAGTGCATCCAGGTAGGCATGTTGAGTATCACAGAAGCTCAATCACAGCTGCTGAAATCATGAGGAAGAATCCTAGACACAGTATCACTCGCCCTGATTTCTTTAAGAATCCTTATATAGTTGTTCGCCCTGAATCCATTATGGTTCCTGGTCAAGTGTTTTACATTGTCCCAAACAAAACCGTATATAAATTGGTCAAACATAGAAGAAGTCAACTCTCTTCACATCCAAATGAGTCTCCAAACACTAGTGATCATAATCAAGCTTCCCAACAGATCTCACCATCAAAATCAATGGCAGGAAGGACACCTATTTCTGAATACAAGTTTCATGATCAGGAACAAGAAGGATCAAGTTCTTGTGAAGAAAATACGTTGGATGATGATGATGATGATGGTGATAGTTTGACTTTTCAAGCTAGAGACTATTATCTAAATAGAATTGGTTCAGCATGGGGAAGAACTGCAAACTATGGTCAACAAGGTACCAATTTGAAATCCTGCATGAAGAAGGAGGGCCGTGTTCGGATATCCCCAAACCTAAGGGTGACTTTTGACTTTAGTACAATTATCCAATATTATTGGAACTGAACTCCCCGTTGTTGAAAACCTTGGTTTTGTGTGAAAAAGGCATGAGATCATAGTCTTTATGTTCTATGAGGTCACAATAGTAGAACAGAACAATTCATGCTTCTTTGGATCATAAAAGTTATAATGTTGAGTTTTATGGGGCGTTTGGTTTACCAAATGTTTTTGGAATGAATGGAATCTGTTACATGAATTGGAATATGTTACATGTTTGGTTGGCAGGAAATTGAATGGAATTCGATAATAAAAATTGGATAATTTATAAGTTTTTGGTTATAACTACTTTTTCTATTTCTATTATATTCCAGGAGGGTATTTTTAGTTTTTTAATAATGAAAGGAGGAACAGAAATGAATTCCTTCCACCTACTCTAAGGAATGGTGAAATCCATCAAACATGCCATAGTATGGAATGGAATCTCGAATTCCATTTCCATCGGATTTTGCCAGAATCCTCAAACCGAACACGCCCTTATACAATCTTTGAGAAACAAAACATAAACATAATCGAATTATATATCAACTCTAAATACGTACTTTTATTAAAAAGTAAAAAACAAATATTCCTAAACAAATTGCTTCATTCTGTTCTGACAGTTACCTTAGAATCAGTTCTTTGTGAATTCCTGGATGGAGATGTTGATCTGGATCCCCTTGAAGAACTATGTCCAAAAAGATTAAATTTACTGATTTTCTTGGAAAACGAACTCATAAATTTACGTGAGTTAGACTTTTCCATATTCCTCTTCATACAAACATGCTCTTTTTCCAAATCATTCAATCTCATTCTTAACCGAGTCAATTCAAGTTTAAGCTCCCGGTTTTCTCGCCTGAGTGATGCATAGTTATCCTTTGGAGACATCGCAGCACTGAGAGCACCACTGTTGATCCGCCATGACTGGTGGTGCACTGGCGGCGGCTTCTGGTGGTCACCACCACCTAGGTCAGAGCAGTATAAGGCGTTTCTAAGTCTTAATTGCTCGATGTATAGAACTTGGACGATTGATTGAAGTGGCAGGCGATCGTTTTGTGCAGCATGTGCACCCGCTTCCGGTGACAGTTTCTGGAAATCGATTAATTTGCAGAGCTTCTTTTTCTCAGCTTCTGATAAACCCTGATGAGCCTACATGAAAGTTTTGTTTCTGGAATCAGTTCAAAGTTGTAACAGTTTTCTATAAAATAATCGTGTTAGTAATTAGCATGAAATTAGTAATTAGCATAAAAGTAATTTTAAAAAACCTCTAATAAAATATCAGTAAATTTTTATATAACTTTTTTTGAAACGGAAAATCTAATCTATTTTTAAACTACTCCTTAATTCCATCTATGTCTACGACGAGATTTGAACCCTCAACCTCAATGATGGAAGATAACACATGATACCGCTTGGCTAGGAAATTGCAAACTAGGTTATCATTAATTGTACATTTATGCTCAAGTACCTAGAAAGAGGGAGCATGAAGCAATACCATTTAAACTTAAGTTATTTTAAAAACAAACTATTAAAATACATAATTATTAAAAAAAATGATTCATGACTAACTTAAGTCCGGTGGTTTAGGACCCAAAGTGGTCTTAGACTCTTAGGGGGTGTTTGGGATTTTGCTTATATAACTTAATAAACATTATTTTGTTTGGGATTTTGCTTATATAACTTAATAAACATTATTTTTGATAAAGTGCTTGTTAGCTTATCTGGCGACAAAAATAAGTTTCTAAAAAATGTCTGGATTAGATTAAAAATAAGTTTCTAAAAAATGTCTGGATTAGATTATGTGGTAGCAAAAAATTTAAATTGACAAGTCTTTTTTAAAAAATTTTAGTATTTGAATAAGTTTATAGTCATTTTAGTCATAATTACTTTTCAAAAGTAATGAGCATGTGACTTTTTAAAATCTTTTTTTAGGATAGTAAAAGTTGTTTTCAAAAACACTTTTCTATTTTCCAAATATTTTTTTGAAGCTTATAGCCTTTTTTAAAAGCTAATAAGTCAATAATTACTTTTCAAAATCAATCCTGAACACCCTCTTTTAGTTTAAGAAATAAAATTAATTTAAGTCCGGATTGACTATATGAGAAGTAGTGGTCCGTTGTTGGTTAGGAAGATTGACCATCAGTCAAGTCTTTTTAGGAAAAGTTTTTGGTAACGGGAGTATTTGTCCCACCACGAAAAGTGGGACAGAGACTTGCCGGTGCAAAAGACGTAAATACCCTCCTTGTTCTTATCATAAAAAATAAATCTATGAGTATTTGAACTAGATTCTTTGTGGAATCAAACGACATACCTTAAGGTAAACATCAATGGATCGATAGAGTCCATCATGGACAGTCCGAGCATGCGCGGGTAAACTCTCTGCAACGGCTATAAACCTAGCAAGTTTAAGATTTGCATCCGGCGCTATTTCTGCAAGATAATTATCAACCAACTTCGAAACCTTAAACAAAGCCGTTTCAGATGGCGAATCAAGACCATCAGATCCAAAACCCGAACCATCTTGATCATCATCATCGTCATCATCATCACTCTCATCTTGTTGCGCAAAATTAACCAAAATCCTATGAACCGTATCAACATCAAACAACGTATCACCAGCATGCCGAAAACTCGGTATCAAAAGATCATCAAGTGTCGCTATATCCAACAACGATCCAATTCGCCTCTCGAGATCAAGCCGACTAGCAACCGTACAATCAAGCATCACCGCACTTCGAAGCAACCCAAAAAGAAAACTTAACGGGACCGCAAGTTTCTCAACCGGAAGCAAACCGACAATCGTCTCGACCACAAGTCGTTCGTGATCATTCATTCCACCATTCGGCTTTTTAGTCAACTCTTTTTGTGCGTAATTCATAAGCGATTCACCAATACTTTCGGGTCTCACCCCACGACATTTCATCGCTGTCATAACTCTTTGGTACACATCGATTCGAAGAACAGATAAATCTTTAATCCACCAGTCCAATTCGCACTTTTGTCGACTCATATGTAGTCTTCCTGAACTACTATACTCCAACCTCGAAAAACTAGATGCGATTTGCTCCACACACGCTTTCGATGCGATCGCGTCGATGCATCGCGTAACGATTTTGAGCTCATCGGCTTTCGGAAGTAAGTTTTCACATTGTTGAAGGACTAAAACCGACATTTCGAGATTCTGGCAGACAACATGGTTTAAATACTCATCGGCACGCGATCCGAGGTTGTTGTTCGAGAAATCCTCGGTCATTTCGAGGTAGTCGGAAACACAAATCAGCTGTGCGACGTTTGATGGTGTTATCTCGAAATTGATCCCGTAACAGAATTTAGCAGCGAGCTCGAATGTTTCAGTGCCTCCGGGTAGGTTTTGAAGCGCGATTCGTGATATAACCGCGTCCCGGTTTTCCGAAACCGCTTTCCGGATTTGCCCGCTACGGGAAACGAGAGGAAACTGCAGACAGACATGGATTAGATGTAGACAGTCTTACCTCACATAGACAAAAGTCGAATTTTATGACAATAAGAAAACTTACCTTATGTAATGCGAACGCGATACCGTTCACTTCTATTGTTATATCACTCGGGACATCACGAAATATCCTGTAAACCATATATGATTGGATTGTTATATAAATTAGAAACATGAAAACAAGAGCACAACGAAATTAACCAAATTGACGAACCACTCGTTATAGCTGTGACGAGAGCTCTTGGCTAACGTGAGCTGGGGGTGGTGTTGGTCCATGGATGGCAGAAATGTAGAGAAAAGATCCAGAGAAGATGAGTAATTAAGAATTCAGGAGATCCATTAGTTTGTGTGTGTGTGTGGGGTTAAGTTCAGTAAGAAGTGAGATGCAGAGAGGGAGACATAACCACAGTTGGAGATTTTGCTGTTTTCTGCCTTTTTTTTTTTTTTTTTTTTTTTTTTTTTTGTCAAAATATGCAAAATCATGAGGTTGCTATCGTCCAAACCAGTTGGCCTGTGTAGGGTCGTACTTTTTAATACAAGATCATAAATTAAAAACTTTCCTTCTCCAAAATAAGTTGTAACTAGTTTGCAAATTTTGTCACCTTTCATAGACTTTTGAGTAAGTTACACTTTTCGTCCCAAAAAATTTCTTTTCTGTCTTTCTTATTCTAAAAGTTTTATTTTACAGTTTTGGTCCTTATTTGAAGTTTTAGTATTTATTCCAAGTAAAATCACTATATTTGCCAAAATCAATTGTACCTGGATACCAAACTTAGTCATTTACTTGGAACATGGACTGAAATATTACAAAACCAAATATAAGGATCAAATTTGCAAGGCAATATTTTTTGGGATAAAAAATGTAATTTACTCTTAAGTTTTTGCTTTTTTAGTTCTTATATTAAGAAGTAGGATGTCATGGTTTTTCTATGAAGTATTATATACGTATATTTAAGTAACTGTTGAAACCCAATGAAAATTTCGAACAAATAAAAGGCGATCACGTTTATATGTTTTTTTTTTCTGTTCAAAATCATGTTCAATCAAAGCAAATAAAGAAAGGGAGAAAATGGTAATTATGTTGTCTTTAGGAGAGAAAAGTTAAAGAGGAAATCAGAAAATGTTAAAAGATGAAAACAAAACGGGAAGTAAAGGTTAGGTTGTTATTTGGGATTTGACATATTTCAACTTATCCTCAATTCCTCATGGCTCATCGTAACTCATTTTGATACAAATCTCCTTTTTATTTCTTTTAAATATGTCGAAAATATTTTAGAAGATGATATTTAATTGTTAAATTTTATGAATATTGTGGTATTAACTTTTACGATTAAATGTTGTTTTATTAAATAGCTTTGTGGTAAAAAGTTATCGAATTAGGCGGTAAATGAAATTCTACTGTTTGTCAAATCTATTTAACATGAGATTTTTTTTCCTAAAAGAAACAATGGTATAAAATATGAATATTATAGAAAATATGAGAGGTTAATGGAAAATAAACAAATTCCTCATAATTTATTGAATAAGACATCAGCCTAACAAGCTTATTTAGTCGCAAACAAACAGAATTTTAACAATATCACATGATGTTTAAATTGCCTAACAAACTTATTTACTCACAAGCAAACACAAATTTGAAACTATATATTTAATTTTTGTAGGTGGGTGGTGGGCCCTATGATTCTTATGTTACATATAGAAAGAATTTTAGAATATACACGTAAATGTTTAGTTCTTAAAAGCAAGAATAAATATATTAAAGAGAAATTCGTTCATTGGTGTATTTAATTTTTAGCGCACATAAATATCTTTTCAAAAAAAAAAAGGTGTTAAAAGCATAGATTTAAATTGACAAAATGACAAGGAACTCCCTCATACTACAAAATCTCGATTTTCAAGATCGTTAAAGCATAGTCAAAAATGTCATTACATATATGTGCTTTGACAATTTGGAATAGGAACAATTTTTCTTCAAATGATGCCTTTCACCACGAATGAAGGAAAGTATGCTAGTAAAATTTCCAAAAAGAAAGTAGGGAGTAAAAGGGAACATTTTCAAAAGTAGAGGTACGCTAAATGACATTTCTGATAAATTTAAATGATTTCCCACCCAACTGCGAATGGGCTAGCTGGGCTGGTAGGGACATGTTGGATCATTGGGCCCCTTTGAGGCCTCACGTTAATTATACTGTGGGCCATAGTATCATGACTTCTTCCACTTCCACCACATTATTATTTTCTTTATTTATCTTTTCTACATTTATCTTTTCTCCATGTAAATAAGAACAAAAAGATTTATTTGGGACAAAGTCAAAGTCAATCAAATCTCAAGTATGATGATGCATCAAGCCAATGACCACATGTATCAAGCATTTGATTTCATTTTTAACATATAAGATATTCATAATTTAAAAATATTTGAATAATTTTTATCATTTTAATGACACTTATCAAATGGATTAGGTGAGAGACAATTTCAACCTATATCATTATAAATAGGCAAGTTTATGTGTAGATTAGATTAACATGTCAAATATGTAAAAAGTATAAAGTTAGTATTTACGAGTTAATCATAAATTGTTACACCAGGAAAACTATTGATATATGCAAACACACAAATTGCACACGTATGCATGTGTGGTCACGATCGATTTATGAATGGCTAACTTATCTAGACATGGATACGAACCGAAATCGGGTACGATTAAGTTTGTCACAACCATGGTTACAACTTGCATTGAGCATGATGGAGAAAAAGGACTACTCCATTCTAATAATGCTCATGTCACCTTGTGTGCTAGTGTACTCCATGTATCATGATAGTTTCTTTTATTTGAAGATAGCATATCTCTAGACAAAAAAGGACTTGTTGCTTTCATCAATACAAATGACCAATGAAAGCATTATAATTTATGAAAGTAACACTTCTGTTTTGGTATGACCACATAATATGTACACCACATGTTTTTGGACATTGGTCCATTGTCACCATTAATTTGATAATGCATTATATACTCACTTATTAAGTAGATAAATCAACTATTATTGCTTTGATAATGCGATCATGTACTCACTTATTATCATCTCCATGAAATAATAACTGATTCAAATCATTTGTAGTTCTTGCATATTTTTCAAGATCATTAGGAGAAGTAAAGAAAGAAATTGTAATATACTACCGCATACACGTGAGAATGAAATCAATGAAAAAGAAAAACAAAATCTTTATACACTAAAAGAAATGTGAAACAAGAGAAATGACTAGTTAGGGTGATCGATTATGACAGGAACTCTTTAAATAACTAGTATTTGTGCATTGATTGTTTCAATTGGTTAGGAATTGGCTCATTTCAATTTTCTATTTGTCGGTCTACCTTATACATACACTATTTTCATTTTTAAACCTGTTTTTATTTATGACTGTCTAAACACTTATAAAACACTATAAGAAAAATATTATAATTTTCTTGAAACAAGTATTATGAATAAGATAGTTAAAGTCACATCTATTTGTTATACACAGATATACATAGATAACAAATGGATAATGGTAAGAAAAGCAAAAGATATTTATATACATTTGTGAAATAAAAAAGAAAGGTAAGGGAAATCATGCAAACAAGACTTTTTTCATAAATCATAAGAGTCACACCACATAGCTTTGACTTGGAATACTTATAGAGTATAATACAAATTTAGGATTAGATGCCATCATCATAGTCAAAGCTCAAAAGGTGTTTAAAAAGAGGCGTGTTTGTATTTTCTTCATTCACAAAGGGCCAAAAGTGCATAGTCTGATTTTTATCCTTAAAAGTGGCATTGTGTGGAATTTTACTTTAGCAATTTATTGATTGATGAACGTTAAAGAAAAAGAGATAATGTCAATCAGGGCATGCGCATGCTTTTGTTTTTAAAATAATTAAAATATAACAATAAATATACAAACAAAATCACTATTCTATACTATAAGATGTATTAATGAAATTATATTAATCGTATATTTAGATTCATTTTAATTTTATTAATCAGATTACTTTGGATAATATACTAATTGTTAAGAAACTTTGAATCAACAACTAACATTTACATTTACTATAGCTGTGTGTGATGACAATAGAGACCCTAACTCATAAAACAAAACATAAAGAATCCAATTTATTTATATCGTAAAAATTACATTAACAATTATAAAAAGAAATACTTTTAAAAACTTCTATAGAAATATTATTATTGTTATTCAAACGAAAACAAGACCTGGCCCAAAAAAAGAACTCTACAATCCATCCCCTAACTAACTGCAAGACAACAATTAATTTAATTCATTGGCAGTGCACACTCCCATCTTATGTGTGAACTTTAAAAAATCTTCTGTCATCACATCTACAACTTGATTATAAGTTGTTTCCTCTCTTCTCATAACCTCTTGATTGCTCCAAACACACGACACATCTTCACTTGATTCACCATGAAGAAAGCTGCTTTTACGTCCAATTTATAACACCCATGATTATTGTGACTAGAAGTTTTAACCAATAAGTGTGAATTTCGCTTCAAAAGAAGTTGTTTTGGGATGTTTAATTATATAATCAGGTAAGGTGAAGAGTAGAATTTAAGATTTAAATGTTGTTATGATGAAATTGTGTATGTATGTTTGGAATTTGGACTAAAGTCCTTAATGACTATAACAAGTGAATGTTGGTTAAATGTATGTTGTAAATACAAATTTCTATATGGAATGGAGTATATTAATTGAAGTAAAAGTTGACCTTGGTGGGAAAGATGCTTGGGTTTGGGTTGATGGAAGTTTGGTTTGGTGGGTAATTTATGAAAATGAAAACTTATAATATGGACTGGAACCCTATCCTGTTACGGCTTGGAATTAGTCTGTTGGGCCTGAATGATTAAATGATAATTCCTTTATATTGAGAACGATGCAAGCAAAACTAATTATTATAACCATATACAATCACAATATTACAATATACAATAGTGGTTGTCTTCCTCCCTCAGAGGCTCAGACTTATTTTGTATTGTATTCCTAAATAAATAATATCGGTTGACCAAAATATTCATATGTGCGTGATTGTATTTTTGCACCCTGTATAGGTTTGGGGTGTTACAGAATAATTAATTAAAGGAAATGAAAAACTCAATGTTCGACTTCCACATACACTATATGTCCGGTCCAGACAAAGCCCAAAAGATCGGTCCCACTAAAGTCTATCCAGTCACAAAATGCACATACACTATATGCATGAATTGTCAGAGTGATAAAAGGACTGCTTCTGATTTTTTATAAATTAACATTAGACAAAACTGCACAAATGGTCCCCGTGGTTAGCTGAAAAATGTCACTTTGGTCCAAAAATGTTTTGACTAGCACCAGAGGTCCAAACTTTTCATTTTGTTGCGAGTTTGGTACAATTTTGCTTT